CTTAAAAAATTATCGGACCTTTTATAAGTGTTCCTTGTCTCCTTAAAGTCTACCTCTTCCTATCAGGGAAACCCTTGGAATTCCCCTTTTGTATCTATGATTAGTGTCAATTTATGAGCTAGATATCAAATAATCTGCTGCTTTATAATCACATCATAGTTTTCATCAATCACCCTGTTCACTACATTTGGTTTGGATTTAGTTTCAGGAACAAATTCATCCTTAATGATAATGATTTGCCAACAATCAGACTATTCTTAAGACTGCGTAGTAAATTCCTAAGGAGATTCCTATAGGGACTTGCACAAAGACAACATTACTGAAATAGGCAAATAACCCCCTAAAGTATCTACCTTGAAAAGGATGACACACGTTTAGACATGTGTTTCTGAAATATTTTCTAGGGGGAAAAAAATATCAATCACATCATCTCAGCTCTCATCATCCCTATGCAAAGGTTATGAGTATAAGGAAGCAATATAGCATTTTAGCTAAGGGCATCTACTGAAGACCAACAAGCCTGATTTCATGTCCTTCGGCTATGTGATCCTGGGCAAGTAATGTCCTCTCTCTAAGCGTTAGTTTTTAAAATCTGTAAAACGGGGAGAATAGTAGTACCTATCTGAAAGGTTGTTTTTTGGATAAAAAGATGTAAAGTGTATAAAGCAGTTAATAAAATACAATTAAATTAATTAAAGCAGTTAATACATCACTGACAAATGGTGCATGGCATTAAGGTGTTAGCTAAGCACTTTGAACTTATTTCAACCCACATTCTAATAAGACAGTATTCTTTTTGCATTTTCTACTACAAATGTCACTGCATTGCAAATATGAGTATTATTGATCTAGAAATATTAAACCACAAATTTGGTAAAAAAATTATCTACAGGAAATCAGACTTCTTTGGTTTGGGTCTCTGATTCAGTGAACTAGTATACACTGGTAAAACAAACCAGTTTTGATCATTGACTTTAATTTAAAAGTTTATTGTATTTCACTTTTAATTCTCAACATATTCCAAAGTAATTTAGAGAGACTTCATCCTAGACAATGAAAAGTAATTCTCTCTCTTCCCAGTAAGTTAGAATATGGATATAAACAGATGTTGTTAAATCTAGTATGTATTGGAAGCATATAAATCTATGAATGACTTTGTCTTCTTGAAAAAATTAAATTTGATATTATTTGCTTGGTTTTAAAATTTCACCAATTAAATTTTATAAATTTAAAATTTATAAAAATAAACTATTTTAGTAATAATTTTGTAAGTTCTCAGCTAAGTAAAATACTATCATTTGGTAAATTACCTACAAGCTAAAGGAAACAAGGTACATTTTGTAGCATTGTTGGTTTTCTTCTATTGTTCTCCACTCCTTTGTCATAACTTGGTGTTCTTAACGAGGAGAGTCAGCATGAATATGAGATACAAATTGTTTACTGATGATCTCTTAGTCTGCTTTTTTTTCCTGTAATACCTACTTACACAAATTATGAAATCAATAGGAATCATACACATCCCAAGTGGGGCTTTATTAAAACCTAAAATGCAAAATGTTTATGGCTTCTGTTTTTTAAGAAGTAGTTATCAGTTACCTACATGTAGCTGAACACATGTACTGTTGATCATGTGTTCAACAGAGAACTACCTCTAGGTCCCTCTTGAGCATAATGCTCCATTAGGCATTCCATGGGCTCCCCCTTTCCAGCAGGTCTCTGCCCATTCCTGTTGCTATAGATGGCCATCAGACATTTGGAATGACATCACGAGATAATCTGAGCAGGCTCTGCCCTAAAGAATTCAAGCTAGCAGGAGACTGAAGATATCAATGTCTTCCTGGCTGACAACAACATTCCAAAGGTCAACCAGGGTGAAAAGAGAATGGACTTGGGAGTCTCCAGTGCCCTTTCAACAACCAAGCAACCAAGCAGCTAAGAAGTATAAGGAAGAATCCTTAAAAAAAAAAAAAAAAAGACAAAGGAAGCCTCAAAGTATCCTAAAGGCACCATGCCTGTGAAAGGGAAATAAGGCAACCTATGCCTTAACTCAGGAAATTTTAGAACTGAAGAGGTCTCTGCCTCTTAAAGTAAAACTCACGAATAGTTTTCTTCTTGAAACCAATTCCAACCCCTTTGACAATCTACTTCTTCAACTTTTTCTGCTGTGACAGCCCCAGTATGGGGTAAATTGTCCAACTTAATGATTTACAGCTAGAAATTCTTTGCAGCAGAATAAGAAAGGTTAAATTTACTATAGTTTACCACTTCTCCAGTCCTGTGCTTTTTACATTGAGTAGCTCATTTCATCTTCATAACAAAGTTTTAAGGGTAGCACTTTGTTCCACATTCTATAGATAAGGAAAATGAGGCAAAGGAAGGGTCAGTAACGTGCATAATCATACAGTTACCATGTGATAGAGCCAACTGGCTTTTGGCCACATGGCCTCTTCCTAGTCAGACCAGCCTTACAGTAGTCAGCCATGGAAAGGTTGAGGCCTTCTGGCACATTTGCATGCACTTGCAAATTAAAAAGATTTTTCTAGTTTATTAGGATTTCAGGGAGAATGGGAAGAACCTTTCCTACCATGAACCACATGCAAATGGTAAAGTAATACATGACATAAAAACAATTCAAATATGCATCCACCTGGGGGAAATCCAAGCTTTAAAAATCATTTCAGTTATTGTTTAAAAATTATCATTTGTGAGTACTCTTATCTGAACACTTAGGGGTCCTTTGCTAAAGGTTAACTTAAAAGCTAATTATATAAACAGCCAGAATTAACACAAACATTTCACCCCAAATAATAATAATATAGAGGATAATCATGGCAAAAACCAAGCAAGCAAGCAAGTAAAAGCTAGAAAGTTTATGCTTTGTTTCTAAATCTTTTGATCGTTCTGTTAGCTTACATGCCTTGGATAATATAATTTGGAATTAAGTTTTGTTCATGTAATTAGCATTTCTGGTCAAATTCTGCCCTAGTAATATCAGTCTTAGATATAACCAGTGTAGCTAACAATACTTCCATGGAATTTGAGGAAGATTCTGCCTTGCTTTGCTAACAATTTTCACCTTATGCAACACCTTTCCACCCTGACCATCAGTGTGGTTTTTAGCTCTTACTTTAAATGGATAATCCCGTTTCCTCAGGAATACTTAAGTATAAGCAAGCACAATGTTACCCCATTTAGTCTTTTTAAAAAGGCACTACATGGATGACTCTATAGCATCTTACTACGCTCACAGACAGTGACTGAAACGGGGTGGGGGGTGAGGACTTGATAATATGGGTGAATGTTGAAACCACAATGTTGTTCATGTGAAACCTTGATAACAATTGTGTATCAATGATACTTTAAAGAAAAAGGCACTATATGAATCTATGACACTACCAATAATAAACCTTTAGTTTGGTAGATATGCACCTAATTCTATATTGAATTGAATTTCTTCCTGGAGGAATGTTTACCAGCACTTTCTCTTGTAAAAGTGTATTCCTGTCTAAAATCTTCTATCAGGTTACCTTTCTGTAGAGTTGATTTGCCTAGCCAATTCCTGGCAAGGGGCTCTAGTCTGGCACAAAGGCACCTATCAGGTGACCTCACCTTCTTTCAAATTTATGGCATGATTTGGGGACACACCTCTTAACTTCTCTGGGCCCAACTTCCCCTCCTGTACAAAATTAGGTGCTTGTGTTAAGTGTCCCCAAAGACATCTTTCAACAGGCTGATACTGACATTCTGACTTGAAAACTTTTTAAACTAGTGCCAAGAAATGCAGATGCCAAGAGTGTCCTGAAGTTTGGCTGATATCATGAAGCACGTTATTTTTAAAATATAATTAGCATTCATTTAAAATTCTATCGCAGCATATTTCAATAGTCTTTTCTGCTATGATGGAAACATTCAACATCTCGCAGTCAAATAAGGTAGCCATTAGCCACCTTGTGGCTGTTTAATGCTTGAAATGTGGCTAGTGTAATGAGGAGCTGAATCTTAACTTTAATTTAAATTTGCTTCAACTTGAAGGGCCACATGTGGCCAGCTGCCTGCCATATTGGTAGTAGCTTCCACTTTCAGAAACAACATTTTATACCTTTGGTTTATTCAGCCGAGTACTCTACAAGGCCTTGGGAGCACTGTTCTTTCCACAATGGCTGGTACTCTTAGTACAGCTCCACAGACAGATCAAAGAACAGCACAGGCATTTGCATTTCATGATGGCATTTTGCAAGATTTCCCGGCACTGTTCTCACGTGCTAACAAATGAAGGGGGCTGGGAGGAAGGAAAACAAGTTTGTCGTTTTTCTGTGTTTTCTCCCTCGTATCCCATTTTTTCTTATAGTTTTGTGGCCTTTCCCTAGCCAAGACGCGCACATACCCACCAAGGTATCTTAACTACTGAACCAGCGGTTGTTGCCTAAATTTTCTAAATAATCCTGTATACCTCGAGAGCTTAAACTGTAAAATCCAGCTCTGGGATCCCATCCTTTCTTACTGGTCTGTCAGGTGAAAAACCTGGCTAGCGGGCAAGGGACAGGGGCGGCGGCCCCACGTGCGCGGACTACTCGCGCTCCCCAGGGCTCGCAAACCGCTCGGAGCACTGGCGGCAGCCCGCGGCCGACCGCGTGCCAGCGCTTTGTGCGCTGTGCGTGGGTGGGTTCACTACGCGCGTCGCTCGGATCTCATCCCAATCTCGGGGAAATATCCCCCAAATTCCCAAACCATTAAAGCAACTTCCCCGACACCGACACTGCCCGTTCCCAAGGCCCACCCACCACCGCTGCGCCTTCCTCCGCTCCCCAGAGCCCACCCCTCGGCCTCTTCGCCAAGCCTTCGGCCGCGTCCCCACGGAGCGCGTCACCCCAGCCCCGGCTACAGCCGGGCACACCCCCCACGCCAGCCCGCCCCCCCCCCGGCGCATCTAGGCCCAGCAGGCCCCCCGGCGGCCGGCCCGCCTCCTCCGCGCCCGTGGTGCGGGCACGTGGCGCACTCACCCCCTCCTAGCAGCCTCCGGGCTCTAGAAACACTCCCGGGAGGGAGCCCCCGCCCCCTCAGCTCCGTCCGCCGGGAGAAAAGTGGGTGGGGGGAAGTGGAGACGGCCGAGAAAGGAGTATATAGGTGGTGAGAGCAGTGTAGGAGGGGAGGACCGGCAATAATTGGATGGCGTTGGGGCTCTCGCGCCTCTGCTGAACGCCGAGCCAGCGCGATCCACTTTCCACACAAATCAGCCGGGGGATCGTTGCCGCCTGCAATCAATAACTCCGCGGAGTGAGCTGCTGAAACCAGAGGCGTCCGGGGTCTGGGTCTTTAAGGGGCCTTCTGGACTGAATCCTAGCTCTCTGCTTCCTAGACAAAGAAGTGGGCACCAAAACGACAGACGAGATTTTTAACCCTAACCCCCACCCCGATCATGGGTAAAGATCTTTTAAAAATTAAAGGGCACACACATAGGTATCTTGTAGAAATAGTTTTAAAAATCAAGTGTAAGCTCTATTCTTTGAATTGAAGGTGTCTGTGATGAATTTCAAGAAATGGGATAGAATTATTCTGATGAACATTTAACAAACTTGTAAGTAAAGGTAAAGTCCATTAAATTTAGCCATGCGTAAGGATACTTTTTAATATGCCACACTTTCACAGGTAAATTACTGACGAAGCCTTATTTGGGTATACAGATCAAAGAAAAGGAAGAAATGTATCATAATTTGTAGTGGCATTTTTAAAAGCTTTAACATATCTTTCAGACATTATTTCATGAATATTGCATTTCTGTAAGATGAGAAGGCCCTGGGAGATGTGTATTATGATTCTCAATTAGTAGACTATAAAACCAAGCAGAGCTAAGGAAAGGGAATTCACCAAGTCACCTAGTACTGCCTAGCAGTCACCAAGTTTAGACTAACTCATTGTGGGCCTGGGCTTAAAAGACTAAACTCAGCTAACACCCTTGAAAAAAAGTGGCCAAATTCTTCACTTCTCCTTGGCTCTGAAGCAACTTAAAAATATAAATAGGTCTAAGGATGTCAATCCAAATATAGAGAGGCTTTATAAATCTTAATAGGTCTTCACTGTGAAAACTCTTCTTGCTCATACAAATGGGAAAAGGTCTATTGACCATCATGGTCTGATATGTCTCCAGGTTGGGAGGATTAGACCCATTCAGAAACCAAGGAAAATTCATTTGTGAGCTCAAAGTGATAGAAACCCAGTTTCAAACAGATTAGGACACAAGAGCATTCATCTGTGTTCAGTACAGTTAAACATGGCTGGAAGAATAAGGTATTATTGGTGATAGGATTCATAAAGGGTACTGAATCCATATCACAAAAACAAGAGTTTTTAAAATTGGCCTTTAGGCAACAAAGAAAATAAGCCCTTTCAGCAACTAGTTGCAACTTCAGTATCTCAACAAATTCTGTTAGCTTTTCGTATGATGGATTTGACTTTCTTCCTTGTAATTCTTTATCAGATATAAAATTAAAGGTACAAAAATAAAGATAAATATAGGATCTTTAGAAATAAGATAAAGAATATGATTAAACCTTGGCTTGGAATAACAGATCCTTTGCATACTGCAGATTCTCAATCACAAGCAGTCCATATGGTGTATACTGTGCATAGGCTGAAGCTGTACCTAAAGAATTTTTGAAATTTATGTGCTTGGCACTATTTATAATAAAGGTTTTAAGTATTATCAAAATTAATGATCATTTTCTTTCACATTCAATATACATCGTTTGGTTTAAAATTAGAATTCACTTTCATGTTACTTCAGACTAGAAGTTTTAGAAATAAATTTGAATGTACTTTAATAGCATTCTTAAAAAAAAATTTTTAACCATATACCTTGTTGTACTTACACATTTTAAGGTGCCAAAGAAGAGCTGCAAACTGTGAAGTAACTTTCATGAAGAGATGAAGTAAAGAATGGAAGGCAAATGACTGTATGTGTATGTGGTAAGTGCTTCACTTTTGTTATACCATCTGCTGCAAAGTGAATTCCTAAATGTAAAACTGCCAAACTCTTTGTCATTAGGTATCTATAATGTGGACGTGGATAAAAGTGATAAAAGAGTTATTTAGCCATTATATGTTTTATATTATAAGCAGTAACATACCACTTTACTTAAAAAGTTCATGTCACCTTGTTGGGCCTACATTTACAAGTGTCTAACAGTTAATCCATTTCAGGTGAAATCATGTATATGATTTCTACCATAACTATAAAAAGATACAACATTTTTAATGCTATTGGGATTTGTAATATACTACTTTTTCTATTCTCTGAACTCCTATGTTCAGTTATCATGTTTGTGTTGAAAGTATTCTGGCTGAAGAACAAATACTATAATCTTGTGGGGTAGATTAACCTATAATCTTTCTTCACTTTAGGGTGGGTTGCTGTGGCAAACATACCCTTTAAAATAATTTTTTAAAGTTCACTTCAAGAGCTACACCCAGCATGGGTCAAGCTTAAAAGCAGGCAGAGTCAGTGCGCAGGGTTTTCGTTGACTGCTAATTTAATGTAGCAAAATAGTAATGAGAGGAGGAGGTAACAGGGTATGTAACCCTGAACAGAACTTAGAAATTAGCTTTCCCTAGAGCTAAAGTCCTGAAGATCATGCTCTGTAACTCCTGGGGCACTTTAATGAAATATTTTGCTAAACATTTCTTTTGGGGAGAAAACAAGTTAATATACATTTACATGTCAAACAAAGCACTTACCATAGTTACTTAAAGGAAATGTTTGGTGATTGCAAAAAAAAACTGGTTTAAATAGTACATCAATCCTAGTCATTATTTTCTCTTAGAAGTGTCACATTTTATTTAACAGGGTAGGGTGCTAGCTTCCAGTTGGCTTAAAGACTATAAGGATTTGCTATTTTCCAATCATAGAACTGGAATAGATAGAAGAATTCATTTAAGGCATAAGCAAATTGAAGCCCAGAAAGGACTCATTAGTTAGGCGCAAATCTTGAACCAGAGAATCCAGGCCTACTTGACACCTAGTACAAGCTCCTCCCCACACCAGAAAGTATTCTGATCCTACCGAAGTACCATTAGGTGGCAAGGATCAAGATGATTTGGGTTAAGAAAAACAGTCCAGAAGTATTTAAAGCATACAAAGCACATTTTGGATTAACCACTTTGTGGATTACCAATGAATAATTTTAAATCTCAAGCGATTTTCTATTGTATATTTTTGCACAACCTCTTCTCTTCTACTTCAACTATAAAGGAAGGCTCATAGGAAGGAAACTAATGCTAATGTTAACTTAGGTCACTCATAATTCAGATGCTAAATGTGCTAATGGGAATATTATATATTTTAAAAGACCAACTGTGACACATTACAGATACAAATTATTTAAAATTACGGTGTGAGGTTATATGTATTTATGAATACTTGTGCTATCAGTAATAATTACAGGTTTGTTATATTGTTTATTATTACATCTTTAAAATATTAAAAGGTAAAATAATTATTTTTGAAGAGAAAACATCTAAAACTGAGGTGTACTGTAATAAGTAGAAATACTCTCCATAATACATCAAAAATAGTATGGTTAAAAGTCATGTATTGCCTGTGTCTATTTGCTCATGTAAAACTGGCTGTTTTAATTCATTACATTAATTTCAGGCATTATTCTAATACACTTAGATGTTCCTGCAAATAGTTTGCTATCTCAGAATGTTTGTGGATCTGGAAAAAGTTATATTAATTTCATTTTCATTACCATATGTAGGCATTTCTTAGTATTCAAAACATCTATGCACCTTTAAATGTTTGGATCTGGTTTTTTTTTAGAAGTTGTACCTTAAATGAAAACCTGATAAAGATTATCTCTGTTGTATTATTAAAGTGAATTCATGGCAATAGAAACTCACCAGAAGAAAAACAAACAGGCAAACAAATATATTATAAATACTAATCTACCAAATATAATACTATTTCAGATGGTTTTTGCTTTGTGACAGTTTGCCATACTTTCCTATACTAACAGCAAGAGATCTAGTTGTACTTGCCGCAAAATCAACCTTCCTCTTTCAAGTGAAGACTGGGGCAGATACCTAAATGTTGAGCCCTCTTTTCTGAGAAAAACTACTCTCATCAAATAGCCCCTGCAGTGAAGCAGGAGGGTTTTTGAATCACATTGTCCTCACGCATTAAAATAGTCTACAGTCATAGTGCAGAACTTACAGGAAATGCAACTAGTCATTGGGTTAAACACATAGTGCTGAAAGGAATTATTTTAAGTGAGGAAATATCTTTAATTAGCTAGATATTTCAGTATGCTCCCATTGTCTGCTCTTGTACAATGTTTTTATTTCCCCAATGTATTTTCCCTTCTTCCTTTCACAATATATTTTTTTAATTTGGCTTAAACATTTTATGTAATCTATAGTTCTACTGGTATGCAGTTTTGCCCTTTCATGGTTTGTGTCCTGGTTGGGATATTTTACCTTTGGCTTTATTAGGCGTGGTGTAATTGGTTGGGGGGTGGGGGGAGATTCCCAACCCCTAGTAGCCTTTCCTAAATCTTGAATATTAACTTTATTTTTTTTGTAAGGAAAAAGTGTTCACTATGCTTAAACCTTAACACAACTATCCTCCTTATCAGTCCCTAAGTCTGCTTCCTGTGCAGCTGAAACTCTTCAGGATAAGTGAAGTCATCAGCTATCGGATAGGGAAGCCTAATGCATTTGGGAAGTTGGTTTGGTTTACATGTTAAGGCCCTGGATAAAATCCAGTAAGGTGTGGAAGAGATAGAGTGGTGGAGGGAGAGGGAAATCTCCGAAGAAGCTGCCGCCTCGGGAAGTATTCCCAAACTGATTAGAAAGTTCATGGCCCCGCGATTAAGTCGAGCTTTCAATACTGGTAATTATTTTATTATTTTGTACACTGCTAACACTTGAGAAGCTCTTGGGCACGCTTTCTAACCCTCCAAACTTTCAGGTCCGAAAAACGGGTAGTCTGGGCGGGCAGGAAAAGCGCGCTGAAATCGAGTGTTGCAGACATCCTGGACGGTGGCTTTTACGCGTGAGTAGCAGACGAGCGCTAGGACGGATGAAACAATGAAGTGGTTAACGCGTCTCTTAACGGGGAAAAAGTCACCAGAGCAACTATTAGGGTCGCGCTCCTATTGGTCAGAGGAAAGATCCCGACTTTAGAAGGACTTTCCTGCTGGCTGGCTCGCTGCGTCCCCGGGGAGAGAGCGTGCGGCAGCCGGAGACGGTTCTCCGAGCGTCCTCTGCGGCGGCGCCGGGAGAGAGCAGGGAGCCGCCACTCGCGGGGCTGTCTTCTTTCGTGCAATAAAGAATTGTCATTAGGTTTGCGTGTGGCATGTGCCATTACCCCACCGTAAAACTAAAATTAGCAAAATGTCAGGAATGGAGAGATTGATTCACCAAGATGCAATTATCATTTAAAAGTGCTTGATTGAGGTACTGATGTTCAGTGATTTATTCTGCATACCATATACATAATTAAAGTAGTGTAGTGGAGTAATTTATCAATCTAGTTGAGCCTGGAGGGGTGAGGAGGGAAATGCTGTATGTTTGTTTTATTAAAATGCTCCGAGGTCTAGTCCCGCCCCCCTTTTGCGAGAGTGAAACTGATGATTTCCCCAGCTCCCGAGGAGAGAGTCCGCGTTCAGGATAGAGGGAGCGAGAGACGGAAAGGCAAAGGCAGCGCGAGGCAAAGGCAAGGGCAAAATAAAGGGAGAGAAGAAGGAAGAAACACTTCTTCGGACGCGCTGCCCAGAACCCCGAGCCCGCGTGCCCCGTTTTCCCTGCCACCCCCGCCTCCCCTCCCAGTAGCCTTCCACCACTGCCCCCGCCCCCCGCCTTTTTTACGCGATGTTTCAAAGGCTGTGAGCGGCTCTCCTTTTCCCATTCGTCTTCTGTCACTTCCTTCCTGGACCCAGTTTTCTGGACGAGTCTGGTTACTTTTAATCCCGCCGGCCGCTGAGAGCCACTTTCTCCTCCTCCTTCTCTTCTTCTTCCTCCTCCTCCTCCACCACCTCGTCCTCCTCCTCCTCCTCTTCCACCTCCACCTCCACCTCTGCCTCCTACACCTCCTCCTCCTCCTCCTCCTCCTCCTCCTCGTCGTCCTCCTCGCGGGCCCGGGAGCGCGCGAATGCGCGGCCCCGCGCGCGCCTCGCCCGCGCGCGCGCACACACACTTGGTCTCCAGTTCTCGGCTCGCTCTGCTCGCAGTCAGACACTTGAGCACACCCGTACACCCAGACATCTTCCGGCTGCTATTGGATTGACTTTGAAGGTTCCGTGTGGGTCGCCGTGGCTGCGTGTTTAAATCAGGTGGAGAAGCACTTCGAGGCTGGAAGAAGTAAAGATTATTGTTTTCTTTTGTTGTTTTATTTTTCTCTTTCTTAAGAAAGGAAAATACCCCCCAAGGACTAATCTGATCGGGTCTTCCTTCATGTAAGTACCTCTGACATTTCTCTAGGAAACAGAAATAGCCTGGGTATTGTCTCTGAAATCCGCATCCATATATTCGGCACTGGGTCTATCCCTGTGCCTTTCTGAAGGCTGAAGTTGAGGCTTGTTGTGCATTCTTTTCGTTAGATTCCATGATTTCCCTGTCTGTGGCTAAAAGTAACTTTTTAGATAGTCTTATCCGTTTGCCATCAGTTACTGAAATCACTCCTGACTCGTTCTTGTTACACCAGTGTGTTTAAAGTTTCATGAAGTTAGTTCACGTCATTAGCATGTTTGATATGGTGGAGCATGTGGAGCCTGGTGAATTTAATATTTCACAGAGTGTTCTGTGACCTTGAAGTACATGCCTGAAGATTTAGCCGTTAGTTCACTGTGGGAAGATGCTCCTGTGAGTTCCCCCCACAAAGACTGATTTGCTTTGGGTTATGCTTATGAGCCACTAATTCTTGGGATTAGTTTGAGCTAAAGCATGGCTGTCTGTCAGAGTATATACCTTTGTGCATATCCTTCGTTTACCAAAGTGCTGCCTTTTTAGAGGGCTTCTTGACTGGTGTGGACAAGAAGTAATACCCTGGCCATGGTAGTCTGTACATTTAACACTTTGTGTTGCCATCTCAGTATATGCCTTGCTCTTTAGGTCAAGTCAAATACATAGCTGTTTAAAAAAACAAACAAGGTTAAGTCACTCTAATTGCCCTCCGTTTCGACTTTGGATGAAAGTTACCAAACTCAGTGATAAAGTTTGGCCCAAGGAAGTGTATATAGACCCTGCACGTTGTTTATGGTATTACTAAATATTATTCAAGTATTTAAATTTAATACCATGGTTGTCTCCTTCCAAGAATATAGCTGTTAATTCTTAAGGGAAATTTTATATAGAAACATTTCTAACTATCACAGGTCCAGCAGCTATCAGTTTTTGAGAAAAGCTCTTTTTTCATATTTTAGGAATGTGTGTCTCTTGTATGAAATACTTTATATGTAAATGCTAACAGTATAATAAGTAGAATCAGGCTGTCTGCCAGTTCTTTAACGGGTCCTTAGTGGAGAAGCGCATTGACATAAAAGTGTGTTTTACTAGCGTGAATCTGATGCTAACTCTAATAGTAACTGTCTTATGAAATGGTTAGTGATTGCATATATTTTCAAAGTGCTATAAAGGGCACTCCAGCCACCTCATTATACTAGTCAAAAAAAGTGACCAGCCTCTTTTTCACTGGAACCTTGCAATGGAATTGTGGATTGTGGTTGCAGAGTTAAGATGTTTATGTGGAGTATAGTAACTCCAGTCCCTAGAGACTCGGTAGGACATGGAATTGTGACCACCTGTGAACCCCGTTTAACCTCTCTATTGCACACTAAGCTTACCTTTAAATAGATTAACAATCTCCAGTTGAAAACTAAAACATTGTATTTAATTTTTAAAATAATGTCAGTTTTGGCTAGTCTTTGCAAACGTTCAATATATATCAGTATGGCACAAGCAGTATTATTGTTTCTCCATCAGTTTCATTTAAACATAATACAGTTAATGAACAATATTATTGTGTTACATTGTATGCATGGAATTGTATTAAGTTAAAAACACTTCTGAAGCAGGTGGATTCAGAACTTGACAGGCAAAATGAGATCTACCTATCTAACATTCTATCTCAAGAGGAAAAAAATTCTCTAAAATCAGATATCTTGTTCTATTTGTAGGAAAGGCCATTTTTGGCTATACATCAGACTCCTAACTCAATTGTAAAAGTTTTCATCTAAACACACTTTAAACTCAATGTTTAAAATATGGCCCCCCAGTCAAGTTAAGGAGACAATAGTTGGCAGTTATCTTTACTTCAGGTTTTACTTAACTTTATAAAAATCTACTGTTTTTTTCCTAATGTAATTCACATAGCTTTGAAGTATTTGTGGCATTTTTTCCATACTTTTTACTAAACACAGTGTTTTGCTTCATTCTTTCATTACGCTATTTACATTCTGATTGGTGTGTATGTGAAATATAGTGAAAGGCAATATTAAAATGTAACTTTTATTAAATATTGATTTGTTCTTAGGTTTAAATAACAAATGATCACTTTCAAATAAGAAGTCAGTTTTCCACTGTTCCTGAGCTGTTCATACTTTAAAAGAATGTAATCACATATATTCTGTTTTCAGACTAGAAACACATTAACATTAAATATATGAAATTTAAATAATAACTTTACTGTATCTTGCCTCTTTTCTTCTTGTGAACATATTCAATTTTCAAAATTTAGGGAAAATGGTTCATTCCAATAGGGAAAAGTGCTATCTGATGATTCAAAACTGAATCCTGAAAAAGCCTCATATTTTATATTTTTCAGATTTCTATGAATTTCTTCCTTTGCCCTCACTTTTACCGAATCAGTAAATTGCATGACACTATAACCATATGTTTTTAGTAAATGGCTTTTTTGTTTTTAAATTACCTTTTTTAAAAACCTGAGCTAAATAACTCCTTGGCATATTTTAACATCGTATTTCAAAACTTTCTTCTGTTTATTGTAGTACATTTTGTGGTCTTATTTCCCAACGCTACATGTGGTGTATTTTGAGTCTATGAAATCTCAGAAAGTGACAAAAATGGGGAAATATCTGTGCAGAAACACTTGTGCTACATAACAATAACAAAATAGTTATTAAATAGAGAACCCTGGCTTCAGGGACATGATTCAGAACAACATGGGAGAATTTCATATGCATTTAAAGGTCACAGAGTAGACTTTAAGGAGGTTATTAATAAAGTTCTACTTTGTTTTCAAAAGCACATCCTCTGAGAAAACACCACACAAATTAATATCTAAAACTTACAAAAATGCACATATTCATTTTATGAATATAGTGATTTCCTAGACACAATGAAAAGATTTAATCACTGAGGTTCAGTCTGTGTGCTGCATGTGAAGGAGAGGCGAGTAAGATCCCCGTCCTCACTGCTGTACCGTAATCTCACGGGCGCGTGGACTGCCCTGCTTTCAGGAAAGACTGACTGTTCACCCATATCTGTCATCCTTAGGAAATCAAATCAGATTACTGACGTGATTCACAAAACCAGGAGCAACAACAGAGTCTGTGCACCTTACAAAAGGTGGATTACACAGTTCACATGTTATTTTGATAGGTCAAAGATAAAAGCTCATTGTTGAGTAATGGCATGACACTCCAATTTCAAATGATTGCTCGATAAGTATACCACAACCCTGTTGCTTCATCATTATGAAGAGCCATTCACAGTAGAAAACTCAGTTTTCAAGTGACAGGCTTCCAATGTGAAGTAAGAGAAAACATGTCCTTTTTTATGCGTGTCTTCGTTGCTTAAATTCTAAGTTCTATCACTTCTTTATGAACAGACATCAAGTTCTGGCTGCTTATGTGAAGCAGTTATTATAAAGCTTAATTGCAGTAGACATTTTCAGAGGCGTTGTAAAGACCACAAAACAGAATTTGCCAGAAATAAAACATACACTCATGGTATTGAATGAGCAGAAAATGCATAGTAGTCAGTAACCGTTATGTTATTCCGTTACAAATATAGTCTTCACAAAATATGTATAATCACATAGTTACGAATCCATGCATTTGAAATATATCTTGATAGTTGTTTATTGGTCAGATTACATAAATGTAATGAATGTTATATAAAGATCACTCTTTACAACAAAATATGTTTGGAGAGTTTATTTCGGAGGATAAAGTTCTGGCTCACATCATCCTATTTTGAAAAACCCAACTTCGTAAATATCCAACTCTACAGTAATTTCTTGCTTCTTTAAAAATTGAAGTCCTTTTTTACCCAACTGATGCCTCCTAGTGTTTCACACAATAAAACACTAATGAGTCACTCATAAATGTAAACATTATATTTTCATTGCCTACATCTTCTGTGATACATAAAATTAATATTTATGTGTTTAATTTTCTGTGCATTATTATAATAAGATAGGAGATTCTAATTAATGAGATGTTTCATCTGAGTGAATCTGTGGCACACACTTGCAGGTTTTCTTTGACCATATCAATATCTTACTAAGTTTTAACAAGTTTATTACTTTCGGTTCCAATTTATATATTCACTGTTTATATTCACTCTTATTTCAAGTAGAAAACGTAGACAGAATAGCAGAACTTCCATTTTGTGGGCCTGGAAATTATATAGCTGAGTTCAGTCCAGGAATGCCTGATGAACAAATTGCAAAGAACTAGCTGTTTCATTTAAACACTAAGGTATCTTACAAGAGATATAAAATTTTGCCTACTCTCTCCTTACACTTGCAAATTTCTATGTAAAAATGGAGTAAAGAAAAAGAGGGTCCAGAAAGAAATAATACAAGCACAGATTTCTCACAATAAGGATTATATCACTTTATCAGAAAAAAAAATACTTGCCTTAGGAGTAGAGTACATTATTCTACATTATGGAAGAAAGACTTTTTAGAACGTAACTTCTCATGACCCACAGATTATCTTAATGAGGTGGAAATTAGTGGATACCAACTTAGGTGTAAGTTTTCTGTCATTAGAATGACGAGCTTAGACTTTCGATACTCTTGAACTTCTGTAATTTTAAACAGCTTTCTGATTCTACTTACAAAGATGCATACTTCAGTTGGTGAATGATTTTCTTTAAAATATTTATGAAAGGGAGGAGGCATTCCCCTAATGGGTCTTAAATTCAAAGGATGCTCTCAAAAACCTGTAACATTTGTGGGACTCTTCCTGGGCTGTCATACAAAACACACATGTGTCTCCAAACATTCACAAATTTCTACCACTAACACAATATTCTGAGCATCCAAATGCACTAGATTGAACATCGTTCATTTCTATTACCTATGTATGCATCATTTTGTCCTCCTAATTCAAAACACGCAGCATTTTAACAATATTTGACCCTCATATAAGATTTTCTAATTTGGTCAATAATACAGCGCTATTACAATTCTGTGCATGTTGGACACATTTCAAAGAATGTAAGGGGGTGTATTCCTTTCGTTCAAGGAAGAAAACATGTAGAAAGGGGTGGACCTTTCCCACAAGAGCCACATTTCTTCCCTTGGAGAATTGAAGCAAATATGCAGTATGTAAGTGAATAACATCATGCAGCATGAGAAAGAAAGTAATTTCTAATGGTCTGCCGTAGTTAGTGAGCAGAGAAACTGGCAGGTTTTTTTTTTCAACAGATCTTACTGATAACCTTTCTCACACTGAAGGTTGAAGAAAGTATATGGAAGTTTTTTAACTTTAACATTTAGCTTCTATAAAGTACACTAGAATTAATTTTACTCAAAACAAGAAGTCAACAGTAACCATTTTATAGACATATTGAGGCAGAAAGAAACATTCCCTACCTCTTTTAAGAATAAAAAGACAGCATCAATGTTCTCGTTTTTGTCTGTGCAAGAAAAGTAAAGAAAATTCTAAAATAGAATACCATTGTAAAAAATGAGATTATAAGAAAACTTATGCAATATAGTATCATCTCACATTTCTCTGATGCCATTTTAACGGTAACTGCAAAAAGAAAAGTCATATCCCTGTTAAGTAAGAAAATTATGTGATACCTGTTATATGAATCCATGTTTTGATTTCAGGTGATATGAGTAACATTTATTCATTTGTTGTACATCAGCATTGTATTGCCCAAGTTAAATCTCTGTGTTTATTTTTTAAATATAGCCAGTATAAACAAAGTCCAAAGTACACATGAAGAGAATCTTTTGAAGATGTTCTAAAGGAAATTAGTGATATTACAAGGCATAAAAATAGTAATCTATTACAGGCAGATTTCTCTAGGAATATTTACTCTTTAATAATGCATGTTATCAAGACTTTATTAATTCTTAATGCCGTAAATTTGAAATGAATGGAGCAATGTTGTTCATCCTGCAAGTGGTTGTGATTCATGTAGAATGACAGTGTACGTCTTCTAGTAATGATTTAAATAAAGTACCTTAAACATGTGTTTAGAGATTGCAGAAACTGATCTCTGAAGCAGCCCCTAGTGAGAACTTGCTTTTTCCAAATAGCATCCTGAGCATGGTATGGTTTCCCTCTTGTATCTTGTTGTCATAGATAAGATCCATATGAAGAATTCATATAAATTGTTATCAGATACTATGGATCTCTAGCATACTCGAATTTGAAAAGTGATGGACATGGTCCTTTGATAGAATGAGAAGTGTTATTTAAAACAACTAACAACTACCTGTCTTTTTTCACGCATCTGTGATCCTGTCAGCAAGTTAGAATGATAGCAAGAAAATGTATCTTTCTCTGAACCCCAAAGATGAGAAGCTTTCGCTTAGATATGCTTATTTATTTACAAAATTAAAAAATAGATTTACTAATGTAAATAAGTGAGGACAGACAAGAAAATTAGTCTACTACTTAATAGAATAAACATGACTTTTTTTAACCTCCTAATTAATTGTTGACCATGCATAAGGTATACAACCAAAGCTTATTATGGAAAGCTGGTATTATTGCTTAATATAACATGAGGCATTGGGATTTCTTCAAAGTAATTTTGAAGATGTGATTATTTAGTAGAAATATTCACTGGAGCATTTTATTTTTAGAAATCATGGTCACACAAGGAAGCCTTTATAGGACCGACTACCTAATTGCAGTCAAAAAACTCTTTAATGAACAAACACACACATACACACACAGAAGAACACACATTTTAAGAACATAATGGCCCTATATTTTTCAATTTTTGTGCCACATTCTTTGTATCTGAACAGAACATACATGTCTTAGCAGATGTTTTAAGTTATATCCTTCATGTAGGTGAGTGTAAATATACCATTTAACTTAAATGGCTTTGTGGGAAGGTAGTTTGAGGAGTTTAAGAAGGAAAAAGAGAAGCCCCAGTTACTAATAGCTTCAGCTTTTTCTTTTAAAAACAGTAATTACACTCAGGATAAAGAAAGAAAAATAAACTCTTTTAATTATTTGTAACATCCACAGTTTCTGAGGTAGAGCTTTGGTGTATTTTTTTTTTGGAATATGCAGGGCAGGTACTGGCAGCAGAGGTACAAAATGAAAACTTCCTGGCTGCAGACCAGATACAGTGCTCAGTGCCACATCATAAACTTCCCCTCTTCTGTCTCGGAGTGATTTCAGCCCTAAGTCATGTCCTTTTTTTCCCCTTGCGTAGGCTAAGGAGCAAAGGGCCTTCTTCCTGGGCAATCGCTTTGGGAAAGGAAAAGCATAATGTTTCCCTTCTTTAACCTGAACATTCTGCCTCTTAAATCACTAAGACATTAACTGCCAAGTGGGCTCAGTATGTTTCCTTTTTCTTCCCATACAGCAGTTTAGAATGCAGAAAACAATAGGTGTAAGATAGAAAATGAGACCTCTTCTCCACCCACCTCCTCCAGCACACGCAGGCCCAATCAGATAATCTGTTTTTTTTGTTTTGGAGAGAAAAATATAATGGTTAGTTTTCAATGAAACCTGTGCCTTATATTCCAGATATGTTAAGTCATTTTGTGATGCAAATTAACATTGAGTGGTTTTGGTACTTACCTCGAGAAATAGCAATGTTCCAGCACAATATGTGGCACTGCAGTAATTTTTATTGATAAATACTTACACTTTTAGAGATTACTAGGTCAAAATAACAGAGTACAGAGAGCAAATATGGGCTTTCGTTTTCAGACTTGGTTTATGCTCTCATTTGAAAAAAGTACAATGTAAGTCATGTGCTTATTACCATGCAAAATAAATCAACTTCTAGATATCTGCATTAATATTCTTTGCATTTGAACATGTAGTCTGAAAACTTATACTTTTCCTTGTAAAAATCAAGTAAAAATTGTTAAAACCAGTCTCTAATTACCAGGTACATTTTCAACCGATACCAATGCGATTTTTAAAAATCCTATTAAAAAACAATTCTACCTGCCATGGCTCCTTTCAGTCAGCAGCAGAGCTCTCATTTGTGTGAAATGTAGTCAAATTATTGCCAGCACACCTCTCTGAAACTGAGCCTTCTCTTGTATT